CCCTGGCTCCAGCCCCGCCTGTCGTCAGGGACCAGTGACACCCGTGAACTGCAAGAAAACGCAGGCATGAGTGGGTGCTGGCGCGTGCTGGGAATAGCTGCAGTCCGGGTGGTCCCGCCAGGATCAGGAATTTTGGGGTTTCCCTGCATCCCAAGATGTTTGTACTTTTCAGGTCAAAGTCAAGAGACGAGGGAACTGGGGCTTAGGGCTTAGAAAGTTGGGAAGAGACTTGATTCTCCGCAAAGTTGTCCTGCAGTAGCACGTGACTTTGTCCCTAGGCTGGACTGAATGAGCATCTGCACCTAGCAATGCTTTGTCTTCAACAGGTCCTATAACCAAAACTTTTTCCGTCGGGGAGGGGGAAAGCTGGCGGGGTGTGTTAATCTTAACAATTTTGGCAACACCTGCTTGATTCAGGAAACTGTGTGAGGAGGTAATATTTCTTGCTGGTTGCTTTCGGCTTGCTAACAGTCTGGTTTCCCCAGATACGCCTGTGAATAAAATGAGTTTGATTGCTATTGAAATCCTTAGGGAATTTCAAATTGTAATTAAAAGGTTAATTTAGATTGGCTGAGATTCAAAGACCATATGTTACTGAAGAATATTTTGGATCAACTCTCCAAAAAGTGTCAGAAGCAAGTAAATTTTTTACCATTCCATAGGGGCAAAATAATATTCCTTGAGCCTCTAGCTTATTGTAGACTCTAGAAAGTTTGCAACCAATTATTATACTGTTTATTGACATTTATAGCTCCCTGGTATGAGTTTAAAGTAATTGAAATTAGCTAGCATGTCTTCCAATATATTGAAGGATACCCACTAACATTACTTGCTTATTGAATGTTGGAAAATAGTTAAAATTATGAGGCAGTTGTTTGTATTTACAGCAATTCAAATAAACAAAAAAACCCCACGTTTAAGCCATGCAAAAAAGGGGGGATTTAATCCTGATCCGTTGTTTACATCCTAGCTGCCTCTGGTACTTTAGGTTGAAAACACCACATTGAATTTGCACAAAGCACCAGTTTAGCTGCCCTCCTGTTCCCAGCATTTTCTGTAGAAGTAAAGGAAATACAGTGAAATGTTTTTGCTCAAAGGTCAATTTTATCTCCTGCTGGAATCCTAACTGCATGAGTTTTTTTAAAAAAAAAAAAAGGTGTCCTGAACAAATAACCTCTTGTGGGTGAACAGTACAATTTACATGCATGTATTTTATAAAAGTATACATGTATGAACAAACAGCAGATATACATACATGCGCTTAGTGGGTTTTCTACACATTGCAGTACGCTAATACTACAGAACTGTACTTATTGAAACAGAACGTGTGTCATATACAACTCTACACAATTGTTTTGAATTAAAACTGTTAAGTCAGCTGAACATGAAAACCTTTGGAACTAACTTGACACTTTTTGTTTGTTTAAATTCACACATGGTTTCTCAGTTGAGTACAGCATACTAAGACTGGGTCCTAGAAATGCAGGCAAAGCTACTGAGGCTGAGAGCCAGATTATCAGCGTCTTGGAGCTGGAGAAACCTTCAAGTTAGTCTAGCAGCCAGAATCCCAAACTCAGAAATCTTGGACAGCTTCTACAGCTTGAATGCGTGCTGTATTGGACAGCCTGGTATTTGTGTTAATATTTAAGATTGTACAGTCTGCTTGGAAATGTGCTCTTAACCATTGTGCTACTGGGCACAAAGATTGCAGCCGTTTCTTACCAGCCTTTATCTGTAAGCTTTCAGTTGCCATTTGTTCTCCTGGAACCAATTGTTGCAAACCAAAGAAAGTTTTTAAAACATTTCCTTTTTTACAGAACAGATTTAAAAGAATGTGTGGTAGTATGCTATTTAGAAATAATGTGTTCACAAAAATACCAGTAGTTGAATTCTGAGTAAGGCGGAGAAAAATCTAATCTTTAAGTTTAACTAGGTCATAGTTTATCTGAGCTGGGCCTTACAACCAAATACTTTTTCTTTTCCGAACTGATGACCCCTGTGGTTGCAGTCGCAGGGTCACTTTCAAGGTTACGCTTTAAAATGAATCCCAGATAACTTTTCTCCAATGCAGCCAATATCACAGAACACATTCACCCTGTGACCACTAGGGAAATCCCTCTAGCATCTTAGTTATTTTAGGTGTCTGTTTTGAAATGTTCTAACTCTCTTAATAGTTATTAACCAGACCTGTGAGGTATGACCTGGATCATATTTGCTGGGCTTTTCCTACCTAACCGGGCAATGGTTGTGCACACCTTGAATCGCAGCACTTGGGAGGCAGAGACAGGTGGATCTCTGTGAGTTCAAGGCCATCCTGGTCTACAGAGCAAGTTCCAGGACAGCATAAGAGAAACCCTGCCTTGAAAGTCTAAATTAAATAAATAAAATAAAATAAAATAAAAATAAACCACCCAGTTTTCAGTCTTCTCCAGGCCATTTATCAGGATTGTGGGGAATTTTAGATGCAGCTATCTATGGAATTCGAGGTTCAGGAATCCTCAAGAATCCATCTTACTGTATATTATCGTATAGTTTTTCTCTTTTCCACAGTTTACTAAATATCACCTTATTAATGCTTACTTGCACGCTTTTCTGCATGTTGAAAGAAAGCACATATATTTGGTACAATTTGTATGTATTTGCCTTACATGTTTTCATGACTGTCCTTGTATCTTCATAATGCATTTGAATAGAGCCTTAGGGGTGCTGAGGGCATGGGGGTGTGGCTCTTTGGGGGAAGGGTACATTGTTTAGCATATTAGAGGCCCTGTGTTCAATCCTAATCACCACAGAGGGAAGAAAAGAAAGAAAGGAAGGAAGGAAGGAAGGAAGGAAGGAAGGAAATGAGCTACTTTGTAAACAGTTTCAAGTGCTTGAGTCTCACTCCCATAGGGGAGGTTCAGGTTTGTTAAATACTTAGAGAATACCTGATGTGAGTTATTTATAAATGTCTTATAATATTTGACTCAATCTCCAAGTATCTGTACTTGGAGTACATCACTTCTAGATTTGGGTCTATAAATTCTTAATTTTTAAAAGATTTTGATTTTATATGTGTGCATGATTTGCCCCATTAGCATGCAGTGCCTGTAAAGGCCAGACGAGGGCATCAGGGCTTCTGGAACTGTAAGTTTAAGACATGTCTTGATGCCAAGTTAAGGGCTAAAAACTGAACTGAGTCCTCTGCAAAAGCAGCGAATGCTCACAACCAGAGTCACCTCTCCAGCTCAGTCTTTTTTTTTTTTTTTTTGCTTTTTTTTCCAGATTTATTTTAATTTAAATTAGAAGCAAGCTTGTTTTACATGTCAATCCCAGTTCCCGCTCTCTCCCCTCCTCCTCTGGCCCCCAACCCTCTATCCCATCCCCTCTCTGCTCCCCAGGGAGGGTGAGGCCTTCCATGGGGGATCTTCAGAGTCTGTCATATCCTTTGGAGCAGGGTCTAGACCCTCCTCCGTGTGTCTAGGCTGAGAGAGTATCCCTCTATGAGGAGTGGGCTCCGAAAATCCATTCGTGTACTAGACATAAATACTGATCCACTTCCAGAGGTCCCATAGATTGTCCAGAACTCCTAACTGACATCCACATTCAGGAGGTCTGGACCGGTCCTATGCTGGTTTCCTAGCTATCAGCCTGGGGTCCATGAGCAACCCCTTGTTCAGGTCAGCTGTTTCTGTGGGTTTCTCCAGCCTGGTCTTTAGCCCAAAATCTTAATTTCTTATTTTGACAAAAAAAAATTCCCTCTCAATTTCTTGCAAACTCTTTAAAAAAAAAGTATTATTTAGTCTGGCACATTTTTAAGTCATTCATCACTGACTTGTTACTTCCCTGCAAGCTCTTGTGCTGCCACTGCCATCCACCTCTGGAATTGTCTTTATGTCCACAAATACCTTGCACATTAATATCTAAGGCCTTTTCCTTACCTTCCTATGTTTTAGTTGCTGTGGCTCAAGAACTAGCCGAAGAACGGCGACGTAAACGTGGTATTGATTCTTCTGCAGTTACTCCTAAGAGAGCGTCATGTACACCTGGTATACTTTCAATGATGTGTTGATATAGCAGTGCTGTAGCTTTAAAATTTGAAGCCATAAGCCGGGTGGTGGTGCATTGTTTTAATCCCAGCACTTGGGAGGCAGAGAGGCAGGCAGATCTCTGTGAGTTTCAGGCCAGCCTGGTCTACAGAGTGAGTTCCAGGACAGCCAAGGCTCCACAAAGAAACCCTGTCTCAGAAAACCTAAATAAAGAATGAAAGAAATTATATGCTAATGGGTAAATTTTTTTTGTAGTTTTAGATGGCTCTGTCCTTAAAAATGACATCAAGCAGAAATTAGCCAAAGAACGAAGAGAAGAGCGGAAACGTCAGCAAGAAGGTCTGCATGTTAGACATTTCCCTTTATATATAGGTTATATGTTTCTGACTGGGGTTTAATCACTTTGTTTAATCTGTCTATATGATAAATTGTCATTTGTATTATGTAAAATATATTAAATTAGGTTCATTTACTAACCCATACCAAGAAGGCCCATGAAGAACCTGTGACCAAATTATTTAATTTTTGAAGAAGTAGCTTCAATTATCTGATAACTGAGGCCTGGAACTTTCTTCAATAATTGTGGAAACAAGCAGGATGAGATTTCAGTGAAAATGGGAGTTGGTATAAATTAAGACTTTTTAAAACTTGGGAGCATGTTTTCTACTCTATGTATTTCTTCTTTGATCTAAATCAACTGACAAAATAAATGCTCACATTTATGCAAGTGGAATGCTCTAAGTGATCTCCACTGTAACAGCAGAGATAGACAGTGATGTTAGGGGGAGTATTTTATAACTGCAGAGATACAAATTCTCCAGTCGCAGTCAGAGAAAACCCAAACACAGTAAAGCATGCCCATCCATAGTGGGCAGACGTCTAAGTCTATTCATGTAGCACCTGCTTGTTTAATAGTGTCTGGAGACATGAGGACTTTGAAGGAAGTTTTAGAGTAAAATGAGGCAAAACATAGATCTTAGCCATATGTGCTTTAACTTCTATTTAAAAACACAGCATGTTTTTCTGATAGTTTGATTTTAGCTCAAACTAGCAAAAATACGGCATGAAAGAAAACATTTCTTCCTACTTTGGAATTTTAATTTGGATAGGCCAAGAGTCATCTGGCTTAGAAATGCCAGTTCTTCACAGTTCAGTGAACACCTTGTGAAAAGTGGTTCTTTAGTGGCCACATATATTTACATACATGAGCCGTACGTGTTACTTACTTACTGGACCAGGTTATGTTGTATTAAGAATGATAATGACATAGATTAACATTCTTTTCCTTTGTGTTTAATTTGGAAAACTTGACTTGGCTTTAATACTCTGAAAATGTACTTGGGATATTTCAGCCAACAAGGAAAAACAACTGCTTGAGAAAGAACAAAAGGCTAAGCTGCAATACGAAAAACAGTTGGAAGAAAAACACCGAAAACTCAAGGAACAAAAGGAAAAGGACGAGCGACGCCGAGTATCTGCAGAAGAAAAAAGAAAACAGAAACTGGCGGAAGACAAAGTATGAACTTCAGAATCCATTCATTTAGTGTTGGCATTGTGTGTATCTGAAATATTGTTTAGCCCTTTTCTGTATTTACTGGCCCTGTAGAAAGGAAGGGAATAACCTCATGTTTTCCTATGTTTTTTTCTATTTTCCTTACCCTCAGTCCAAGTGCTTAAACATTTAATTTCACGGAGAAAAGAGGAGGCATGAAACTGAACTCTGTTGGCTTTTAGAATGCAATTCACATTGTACCTTAGTTTGGGGTTAGCTCAAAGTTATTCTCTACGACCTGCATGAAAGACCCCAAACCTACCACCCCTCTTCTATGACAGGTCCCATCTGGAAGGCTAGATCCCTGACAGAGAAACCATTAAAGATGTTTTGAGAATCAACAAACAAAATGGGAAACAACACAGAGTGAGGGAGGGTCCCTAGTGGTCAGAAATAGCTCAAGACAGTGCCATCTTAGGCCAAAGAGAAGCTGAGAGGAAACAAAATGGAACAGAAGCAAGTGTTAGTATGGACAGATAGGGAATCAGAAACATGGCAGGAGAAAAGAAGGCAAAAGGACACCGACTCCGAAGAGCTAGTGGAGGTGAGGCCCAGCCACAGCCTAGTGGACATTGTAAATAGGCTAACACATTTCTCTTTGGCCTAAGATGCTATTGCTAGGAAATAACAGAAAACCTCTGGCCCTGAAGTTGCTCTGCTTGCTGCAGCATAGTCCATGGTATATTATAGTTCAGGAATGCAAAAGCCCGGAGCAAAAAACTCATTTCTAAACTTGTACTTATTCTTCCACAATATGGCATGCGATTGCGTGGCTGTTATCCTGACCAGTGCAGATTGCAGCTGCAGTCAAGATAAACACACTGCTTGCCTTAACAAAAGTTCTTACTTAGCATCAGGATTTAGCTATAGAGACATGAGTATAAGAGATAAATAACTTTGGCATAGATTTGACATGGCCGTGTCACTCACTTTTTCCTGTTTCTTCACACACACACCCACGCACACCCCCCCACACACACACACGAAGGTGATTACAAAATAGACTATACCATGTAGTAAAATAAATGACTAAGGGATGAAGCAGAAGTGAAAATTGAAGTAGGCAAATATAGTGAAGTACAGGTATGATCAGCATCTTAAAAGTCCACCACTCAGTCTGTACGTTTGCTGCAGAACTTTGACTCTTGAGTTTCCTAATGATGAAAGTGAAAAGGGAAGCATAGTATATGTCTTCATGTAGTATCCACAAAATAAGAAATGAGTAATTCAGGGACAGCACTGGTATTCTTTGATGAAAATCAAACATGTCTCCAATTCTTTTCAATTTTCACCTACTTGAAAAAAGAAATGCAGTGGTGAGATTAGTTTTAGAAACAATATTTTAAAATTGTGGCAATATAATAACCATATAAAATGGTCTGGCAATTTCTTTTAAATAGGAAAAATTTAAGGCTGTTGTGTCTCGTACAATGGAACGCTGCAACCGCGTTGATCAACGCCAGAAGAGGTGGTCGTGGGAGGTCGGTGCGATCAACACTGACAAATCTGGTAATAAAGGTGTTAATGGGGGTGGGTTTTAAGACAGGGCTTCTCTGTGTATCCCTGGCTGTCCCATAGACTACACTGTCCTCACACTCAGATCCGCCTGCCTCTGTCTCCTGAGTGCTAGGATTAAAGGCGTGCGCCACCACCACCCAGCAACAGTTGTTACATTTAAGTTCATTAATGTCCATTTTTAACTGGCAGTTATTGGTAGAAGTCTGTATCTGCAACACAATCTAGTCTTTACATCCTAAATGGAAACATACGGAGTAAATTCCTACCACCTGCCAAAGCTGAATGATGAGATTTTATAATAGATTATAACTCAGAATACACTAAACTTTATTTAAATTTATAACCAGCACCAAAATGACAAATACAAAGTCAGCTAAGCCGATGCTTGTTTTTGTTTTTGTTATTGTTGTTACGCTGGAGAATTAGGTCAGTCGGGATAGCACTTGCCCTGCAAGCTATAAGCCCCTAATTTGCTCCTCAGAACACACTTAAAAACACTCCAGCTGTGGTAGTATATACTTAATTCTAGCACTGGCAAGGGAGAGGCTGATTCATAATAGCTATTGACACTACTTTTATTATTTCTTGAAGTATGTCAATGAAAAAGCACATGACTTAGTCACATGACTGACTAACTTACTCATCACATTATCAATTCAAGGAATTTTCACGTGGCACAAAAGTGTTAATGTGTACTTGATTTTACATATCTTTTTTTTTTTTTTTTTTTTTTGTTTTTTTGAGACGGGGTTTCTCTGTGTAACAGCCCTGGCTGTTCTGGAATTCACTCTGTAGACAAGGCTGGCCTTGAACTCACAGAGCTCTGCCTGCCTCTGCCTCCCGAGTGCTGGGATTAACACCTTGAGCCACCACTACCCAGCTTTGATTTTACAAGTCTTAAAGAGAAGGAATTCTTGTTTAACTGAGCTAGAATATTTCAGATAAAATGGGAAGTATTTACACAAAGCCAATTGTTTTCTCTTATAGTTTTAAGAACCTTGTGACAACTATACCAATTATAAATGGGTTTGGGTTTAAAATCGTTATTAAATTATCCATTATACTTAGACACCATCATGGATTGTGTCTACAATTAAATCTGCCTGCCTCTGCCTCCAGAGTGCTGGCATTAAAGTTGTGTGCCACCTCACCTGGCTAATGATTTTCATCATTTTCTAAGTAACTTGATTTTCACCTCAAATAAGATAATGAGTACATTTTTAGCTTTGGGGTTGTAAACTATACATAATATCTGCATTTAAAAAAATCTTACAAGCAAGAGTTGGAAGGTATTTGAAAGTGATTAATAAAATGAGTGAGTCCCTCCTGAAATCTTAAACAGTTCCTAGGATAATAATAGTGCTTTGTACTTGCTGTTTAGGAAAAACAGAAAGTAAACGAAGTTCCTCTCTGAATAGAAAAGATAACCAATTACATCCCAGTGCTGAGGTGGAACACGTAGACAACACGCCTGGTGAGTAGTTGTTTCTAAGTATAGATCTTCAGTGCTGGTTTAAAGAAATGTGTTTAGCTCAGTTTTATGTTGCTTCAAAAGTTGCTTAAGAAAACACACATGCGAGTATTATTATACGAACTGAACAGATTATGTTTAGGAACATTGTATATGTGCATGTTCCAACAATTAATGAAAAGAGAGGTCCTGGATCTGAACGAGCAAGAAGGGGAGGGGTAGATGGCAAGGTTTGGAGGGAGGAAAGGGAAGGAGAAAATGATGCAATTATCCTATAGTCTCAAAATAAAAGAAACCTTTAAAAAGACATTAAAGAAACTATAAGCCACAAACTGTCTGAAAATCCCGTTTTAGAGGGTCCTACTTCCTCTTCTGGCCTCTGAGGGCACCAGCCATGCAGGCAAACACTCATGCACATACAATAAAAAGAAATCTTTTAAAAATGTGGTTGAGATTTTGAAATACAATGTGATTCAAATAGAAATGTTTCACTACAAGTATCCACTTTCTAGGGCCAGCTTATTTTCATTTGTAGCAAACCACTATGATTACAGGAACTCTGTTCTGGGTATTACTTCTGTAATACTAAATTTGTGATGGTTCTACTCTGTCAAGGATACTGAACACTGAAGTGTATTGTGTAAAATTCCTATAATTTCCTATTAAACAGCACTTCTTTATCCTCATACTGTGTACACGGAGTGTTTTTATCTAGTCAAATTGCTACCTTTATATGGATATTTTCTCTGTCCTCATTCACTTACAGGCATGACCAAATATGTTTTCCGCTATGTGACTGTACCAATGTTTACTAGTGATGAGCTAAAATCTTCTGCAATGTTCGGTAAGTCATCAGTAAAAGTGCCAGTTCCAAGAAAATCAGAAGTAACACCAACAAAGAAAATAGGAACACCCCTCCAGGAATATGTGGAAAGAGCAATAGACATTCCTGCAGAAACACCACCCCAGATGAGCATGGAAACATTCTCTCAGGAAACACCTTCTCAGGCAAATGTGGATGAGCCATCTCATGTAGAAACAGCTAACCTGGAAATGGCATTCCAGAACGTGGAGGACATCTCTGAAGATAACGTGGTCACTTACCCCAAGATGAATATCGAAGTCTTCAACTCAACAAAGCACCCTGAGTCAAATGCTGAAGAATTCCCCACAGTGAGTATGGATGCCTCTTCAAGTGTTGGACCATCCCCCGTTGTAAGCAAGGATTCATCACCTGCTCTGAGCACAGGATCATCCTCCTTTGCGAGTGTGGAAATATCTCCTGTTGTTAGCATGGATGCCTCACCTGAAGAGAGTATAGATACCTCACCAGAATTAAGTATGGACTCAGCAAGTGCTGTGGCCTCAGAAGCAAATATAGAAACATATCTTCAGATCAGTGGGGAATTAAACCTTGAGGCAAGTGTGGAAGCACAACCTGACAAAAATGTTGAAGCATCACCTGAAGCATCACCCAAGGTGAGTGTGGGAGCTCAGTCTAGACAAGGTGAGTGTGGGAAGGTGAGTGTGGGAGCTCAGTCTAGGCAAGGTGAGTGTGGGAGCTCAGTCTAGGCAAGGTGAGTGTGGAAGCTTAGTCTAGGCAAGGTGAGTGTGGGAGCTCAGTCTAGACAAGGTGAGTGTGGGAGCTCAGTCTAGACAAGGTGAGTATGGGAAGGTGAGTGTGGGAGCTCAGTCTAGACAAGGTGAGTGTGGACGCTTAGTCTAGACAAGGTGAGTATGGGAAGGTGAGTGTGGGAGCTCAGTGTAGACAGATGTTGAAGCATCTCCCAAGATAAGGGTGTAAGCACAGTGAGCATTAGCACAGACTAGGCAAGACGAGTAAGCACAGTCTAGACGAATGTTGAAACATCACCCAAGTTGAGTGTGTCAGCACTTCTTGAGGTGATGGTGAAAGTTTCACCTCAGGCAAGTGGAGAAATGCCACTCATGGCATGAAAACACCTCCCAAGGCTGAAGGGAGAGATGCCAGAGATTTGGTAAGCAGTTAATGTGAAATACTTTGAGGAAAACAGTTTGTGAGGAATGTTCTGAACCATTCAGTGAGGTTTATAAATGGAATTAGATTTTGAAGTAGAAGATTTTAAAAATGTATTTCTCTGATATACTTGCATTGTGTAACTTCTTAGCCTAGAAAAGTGTATTCAATATTCATGAATTAAAAGAAAATTGGAGGTTTCAGGGACTATGACTATCTTATTCAGAATATTTTCTTATGAAAAGATAGGTATAGTATAATAGTTGCTAGTAATTTTTTTATCTTATTGAATTGGTATGTTCAGAACCCAGAAGTGGACAGAAGAAACGTAAATCTTACCACCAAGAAACAACTACCATCCCAGATACCATGTTACAAATGGCCATCATCTCCTGCACTTGGGTGGCGCCCACCTTCTCCCATGAAGGCTGTGTAAGTAACCTATTTGCGGTTATTTCTGATAGACATTTTACTGGAACAAATGCCATATCAGTGTTCCCTACATGAAATAATATAGCATGCAAGGTAAACAACTGCAAATGGGAAAAGTGAAGTAGCTTTACTTTCTCCGTTATAAAACTTTCAGTTTGTAATTACAGTATCAATGCATTGCATTGCTTCTAATTATATACTGAAAAGTTATTGTCACATGTTTATTGCATTTTCTCAGCAGGCAGAATCAAAAGATCCGAACTCCATCCCCTCTACCAGTCTCACCAAGACTATCAACGAAGACTTCTCTATCATATAAAGTAACCCCAGTTCAGAATATCCTATATGTGCCAAATGCATTAGGTGTGATAGCAAAGAAAAAAGAAACCATCCCAAAGCGTATGATCAACACAGGTAAATTCTTTTCCTAAGAAATTTATTTTAACAACACAGAAAATCTTGAAGTACTTGAGAATCATAATTTTATCCCCTAATTAAAGGAACTTCAGGGAGTGAACCTTCTTTTAGATAGAGAGAATTAACCAAGCACTGGTCCATTGGAATGCTTCTCGGCTTGCATATCCACCCCTCTGTCTGGAAATTTCATTTTTGGAACCATTGTTTGAAGCATTAGTTGGATGAGAGGGTTGGTCTATGATTCTTGTGGACCCTTCCAGCTCAGATATTGGCTTGTTCTTATAGTTTATCCAGCTACATATGGTTGAATAAGTTTTCATCAGCTGTAGGCCAGTTTCCGTGCACATACATGACATGTGGTATGTCCTAATTTGTACTGTAGCCATGTACACACTGTTATTTTGCCTGCAACATGCATTTTTACATGTCAATGCTACTTGGTCTCAAATGTACTGGGAATTTTGTTTTTATAAGAAATTCCAATGAATTTTCTGAATCAAATGTTCTTTTTTTACAAATTATTTTTCTTGGTGTCTAGAGATTTTCATTTCTACATAGTTTATCAAAAACAACAAAATTATCTATATAAACTTATTATTATAATATGCCTCCATGTTGAACCAGGCATGATAGCACAAGTCTTTAATCCCAGCACTCAGGAGGCAGAAGCAGGTGAGGTCATGGCCAGCATGGTCTACATAGTGAGTTCCAGGACAGCAAATAATGAGAATATATATACATATATGTATATGTATGTGTGTGTGCATTATTGTGTTGTGTAACTTCTTAGACCAAGTAGCTCTCTTGGTCTAAGAGAGAGAAACAAAGAGAGAAAGAAATCCATGTAAAATATACCTTATTTTAATGACAGTCATGGCTTCTTTTGTTACCTACATCTACCACTGTATGATAACCACATGTATATAGAGATATCAAAGTTTAGGTAAACAGCAATAAAAATGATGCACAAATTCCACATATATACCAGATATCATTTGATTGGTTGAGTGTTCAAGACTTCTACTCTTCATTTGAATCAGGCATAAACTTGGCTTCAGCATATTTTAATCTTTCCTCATGGAGTCCTTGATTTACCTGTTTCTAAATAGTTAAGCCAAAGTAGAAATACATCATTGTATTTTGAATATTTGACTATTCACTTGTTTGAAAAAGAGAATATGCTAATTAGGGAGGAGTTGGCATTTTGAACAATTTCCCTAAGTAGCATGTGATTAATTTTGGTTTGTGATCATGTTTTAATGTTGAGAGTGACTCATTTATTTCTTTGTGGGGTTTAAAGGAAATAGTTTCCCTAATCAATTATTTTACATGCTTCTTTAAACTAGAATCTGGTAATAAAAGTGTGCCAAGCAGTGAAGCAGCCATGAAAGTTTCATTAGAGATACACCATACTGCTTATGAACAAAAAGGCAAACAAGAGAAAGAAAGAATCCAGAAAGAGATAAAACAAAGGTGAGCACAAAATAATCTTTTCTATCCCTACACTTTGAGGGGAGTCCAAACTTTGAAATTTTGTACTCAAATTCTAAGTTTCATAATAGTAATTATTTTTTTTCTCTGGTGAGAAGTCAATCATTGCTTTCTAGTCAAGTAAAGGAAGGAAGAAAGAAAAATCCAGTTGTGGTGGTACACACCTTGAATCCCAGCACTCGGGAGGCAGAGGCAGGCGCATCTCTGAGTTCGAGACCATCCTGGTTTACAAGAGCTAGTTCCAGGACAGCCTCCAAAACCACAGAGAAACCCTGTCTCAATGCCCCCCTAAAAAAGAGAAGAAAATAGAAAACACTTAGAAAGGTATTATAACTGGCTGAGCAGAGTGGTAACATCTCTACACATCCTTTTCGGGATCCATACATCCAGCACCATTAAAGTATGCAAAGACAATGTAGAAAGAAACCAAGGATTCCATCGCAGCAGCAGCAGCACCTAGACAATCACATGATATATCTGTTTGAACATCACTGGAAAGACAGAGGGACAGGGTTGGGGGGGAGCAGACAAACAAACACAGATACTGAGATTCATCTCTATGTCACCAGGATCTCATTTAGACAATGAATTAGTCTTAGAAGGTGTCCCTGACAACAAATTTCAGGTCCAGCATGTTGACTTGAAGTTGAAATATTCTTGCTCTTTCATCTTGAAACCTATTTAGTGTTGTACCTTATAATGTAAACCCTTGTCCACTGTAGTCAAGGAATACTGTAGTACTGACTTTATTTCCAAGTATCAAGTGTTTAAAATACAGTTGCCTGGTAAAAAGGAAAGGAGATACTTTAAAAAGCAAGAGATTTATAACTTGGAAATTTTTGTTCCTTGTCTTCTGCAAACCAAGTTAGTTTAGCATTTGAAAGCACTGAATACTGGCACACCAGTAGACCCTGTCATCCCTAGGTAAAATTGGGTTTGTTCACATTTCAAAAAGACCTTATAGGGTCTGTCTCTAACATAAGGGCTGACTATTTCTCTCATGCATATGTGCACATATGTAAAGTAGTCGGGTACTTGTGAGACATCCTTTTGTATACCCAAAGGCCTCATTTAGAAACGGTGACATGTGCCAGGCAGTGGTTGCTCCTGCCTTTAATCCCAGCACTTGGGAGGCAGAGAAAGGTGGATTTATGTGAGTTCGAGGCCAGCCTTGTCTGTAGAGTGAGTTCTAGGACAGGCTCCAAAGCTACAGAGAAACCCTGTTTGGAAAAACCAAGTAAGGGGTGGAGGGTACCATATAACTCTTGAATAGTAAGAACCCCAGAAAATACAGTAAATCTTCCATAAATGCAGTTGTATTAATATACCCAAGCAATTTCACCATAAATGCTCCCATACGCCTAAAAACTATGTGCGCTAGCAGCTAAGAAAAATACTAAATTTATTTAAATATCCTCAGTGTTGCTAGAAAATCTGAATGTATGGCAGAGAGAATGGTTGAAGTCCCAGCAGAAGTGTTCTCACCACACAAAGATGAGCAGCAAGAAGATCTGACAAAGAGACGTTTTGAGCCACCAGAAGATCAGAAAGAACAACTACAGGTTTGTAGCCTTGCCACTTCTGCTGTGCAAGAGAATCTGCTTAGAAAGTGCAGTTGCAACGCAAGGTAGCCAGCCATCTGGGCCACTGAATAGACACAGCATTCTCCAGCCGCACTTTGACATTACAGTTTCCAGAGCCCACATCGCCTCAACCCAATTGATACTCCCAGCCTTAGAATATCATTCATCAGAACTGGTTACATGTAATCTCCGTAAATGATTGTGTATTCCTTGGAAGGGAACCTTTACAAATTTTTCCCATAGCTCTTAAGGAAGGTAAGAAAGTTGACTCCTTTCGGTGTTAATAACTCAAAAGCGCATGCTTTTAAAGCAGTGGCTCTCAACCTGTGGGTCACAACCCATTTGGGAGTGGAAGGACGCTTTCACGGGGTTCACCTAAGATCATCAGAAAACACAGATGTTTGCGTTATGATTCATAATGGTTGCAAAATTACAGTTATGAAGTAGCAATGAAATAATTTTATGGTGGGGGGGTCACCACAACATGAGAAACTGTATTAAAGGGTCACAGCATTAGGAAGGGTGAGAACCACTGTCTAGACCATCCACATGAGGAACTGTGTTAAAGGGTCACAGCATTAGGAAGGGTGAAAACCACTGTCTAGACCATCAACATGAGGAACTGTATTAAAGGGACACAGCATTAGGAAGGTTGAGAACCACTGTCTAGACCATCAACATGAGGAACTGTATTAAAGTGTCACAGCATTAGGAAGGGTGAGAACCACTGTGTAGACCATCAACATGAGGAACTGTATTAAAGGGTCACAGCATTAGGAAGGGTGAGAAGACTACTGATTTAAATTAAGGTAGGCACTGTTCAGAAGGGAACCCTTGGTGTCTGAAACATTTCAAATAGCATTAGCCTCAATCTGCTTTTATTTTCCAGATTTTTTTCATTTGAATTAGAAACAAGATTATTTTACATGTCAATCCCAGTTCTCTCTCCCTCCCCTCCTTCCCTACCATCCCCCCAACTAAAATCCTTTCCTTTCTGCTCTCCACGGGGGGTGGGAGAATTCCTCTATGTGGAATGGGATCCCAAAGTCCACACCTATGCTAGGGATAAGTACTGATCTACTACAGGAGGTCCCATAGGTTTCCGAGGTCTCCTCACTGAAACCCATGTTCCTGGGGTCTGGATCAGTCCCATGCTGGTATCCCAGCTATCAGTCTGGGGACCAAGAGCTCTCCCTTGTTCAGGTCAGCTGTTTCTGTGGGTGAATAGGATGGCATACAAGTCAGTCATCAATCTCATTATTGGGGCAGGGTATTTAAGGTCGCCTCTCCTCTGTTGCTTAGATTGTTAGATGGTGTCATCTTTGTAATTCTCCAGACATTTCCCTAGTGCCTGATTTCTCTGTAAACCTAAAATGTCTCCCTCTATTATGGTATCTCCATTTTTGTTATCTTCTATTCTTCCCCTGACTCAACCTTTCTGCTCCCTCATGTTCTCTGCACCCCTCCTCTTCTCCCCTTCAATCTGCTTTTTAACAAGGCTTTGAAAATGGCCACCAAGTTGCAACTGTTTATTTTTTGAGCTAAAATTTCTTGTCATCCAGATATTTTGAAAATAATGACATTTTTTGCACCAATTTTCTAGAAAGGGAACAATGACATGATGAAATCTCAGGACAGTGCTGAAAAGAGAAAGAAGGAACAGGAAAGAATTATGCTACAAAATTTGCAAGAAAGATTAGAAAGGAAAAAGGTAATTCTCTGTTTCATGTGCTTTGTGTTAACGTTGGATGAAAGTTATCAACATATTCTTCTGAAAATCCTCAATCAGGTATGTGTTAGACCCCAGCTGTCTGCCCATTGTGGTTGCTTATCCAAAGTGCTGACTGCTATTACAGCACTTTGTTCTTTTTGGTGGTATTTGTACCTCATGGTAGACATTATAGCCATGCTCAGTATCTGAAACCTTTAGGATCAGCGTTCCTTTTAGCAGGGTGAGTCCAGGATAACAAAGGTTAGTGGAAGTTAGAGTTTCATCTAAACTGGGCTGGAGTTGGCACTACATGTGGTGGGAAAAAGTGGAGGCCTCTTGAGAAGGCCAGTGTTTGGATTGTTTGTAAGGTAGGACCTCATTTTATGCAACTCCATATGCTTCATCTAGGAATCCCTGTCTGGCCAGGTCTCTGTCACTCTGAGGCAGCCAGCTGTTCTCCTCACCTTATGCAGTGGAGAGAATTCTCATGCCTCCCTAGAGTGCATCGTTCCACAGCCTTCTGTTGGTGTAGGAACAAGATCTCTTAGAACCATAGCATCATTGAAGTGCATTGTTTTCATTTATGTTTGCCTCGGACATAGTCTAAGAGTTCTAATTAGTTAGCAATGCCATGTGTTTAGTCTAACTGATAAAAATAGTCTAACTGTGAAAGTTGGAACATGGGATTGCCGTTTGGGTGTGTGTGTTGTGATAGGAAGAACCATTGCTGCCATTCACAGAGCTTTATAACTGAAACCAGGGACAGAAGAGACACCCAACTGCTGCCCTGACACTTTTGTTAACTCTGGGGACAGTCCCAGGCATTGCCTGATGTCAAATGGAGTAATCATCTGCTTCAGGGACACTATTTTTGAAATCTCTTTTCCATTTTCCTTTTTATTTCCCTTTGACTAGAGGGTTGAGGAAATAATGAAGCGGACAAGGAAGACAGATGTGAAAACCTCAAAGGTAGCCCTACTCCTCTCCGACTGCATATAACTTCCTCTTGCTTCCTGCTCCTGGCATCTCTTCACTTTTCGCTTTTACCAGATTGCTGCTAATGCAGTATGCTGTCACATTTGTGTTTTCCTGGTCCTCAAAAGCCCGGAGCTTGTTTCCCTATCTCTAGTTTGCCTTCATGTTCTCCTGTGTGAACTGCTTGCTTAGGTCTTCTTGCCTAAAACATTGGGGTTGACTTAACTTTTTCCTAATTTTTTACATAGTTTCTTGGATATTCTCGACCCTGCTTTCTCGTTGTTTTTGTTGTTGTTGTTATATTTGTAGCTCTCTCCTCTTCCAGTCTGTGCCTAGTTTTATTGTCATTTTCTGCTGGAGAAAAGATCCTGATGTTATTGTTGAATTTATCAACATCTTCCAATAACCTTAGCACTTTTTATGCACTTACTGAACACTTGGACATCCACTTTTCTCATCACGTGCCTATCTGCCTGTTTCACCACCTGCCTTTTCTTGCTGATTTACAGGAGTTTTACCTACAAGTAAGAGTCTTTTAGAGGTATGCCTTCCTATCTTTTAATATCTTTTGGTGAACCAGAGTTCTTCAGTTCAGCAAATGAATTTAGACCTTCCCCCTGCAGTGACTGCTTTTTGCATCTGTTTTCTATTTGCTTCTCCTGGCATGTCTTCTGAATACAGCACATGCATGCAAGGCTTGTTTTTCTCTATACATTCTGAGCCATTTACATTCGGTTAGAAACTGCTCTTTTTACTGGTCATAGTTATCCCCAGCCACCATCAACGAGCAGGACAATATCTTGATAGAAATTTCATTTCCAAAAAGTCACTTGAGTCACCGCTTCAAAGCTCGTTCAGCTCATTGGCTCAAGGCCTTTTACATCAGCAGCTGCGCCAAGGTCCTGTAGCTCTTTGCTGACTTTTCCCACACTGGTTTCACTAGCATTCTGAGCAGGGCGTGAATGTGACTTGAGGGCTTTAGGCTCTGCACTCTTGTTCAAGGAAACAGTTCATTCTCTGAACGACAGAATTAAGGCCACCTGCCCATCATGAGGTCAGTTAAAGAGATTGCTTTTTCCTACCTTTTACTCAATGCCAAAAATTTGTTGTCACTTTAGTCTTTTCTTACTTCTTTGGATTCTAAAATAGGACGATTAAATACATATAGCCGTGACTTTCTCTCCTAACTATAGGGTTCAGAAATGGTTGATAAATCTGAAGAGGATGAAGCTGATGATGAAGGTGAAACAGAAAGTGATGAGGGCTCCCTTGAGACACTTTCATCAGGTTTGTGTATTCCATTCCTCATGGTTAGACACAGAAGCAAACAATGCTACTACCAAAATGATTATTGGATTTAAGTGGTCTTGTGAAAATGTAGTCAGAACAAGTGACTAGAGCCCCTGGGTATGCTTTTGAGTCAGAGGAGGGCAATAAGGACATTTGAAGTAAACCAGCCTCCAAAGAAGAACAAGCACAAGGGCAGAAAGCAAGGGATAATCCTGACCTTTGACCCATCAGCCTGTATTAGCAAAGAAGTTCCTTTAAGATGTGTTCCCCATCACATCACCACCAAATTAATGTACATGTGTGACAGCCACTCAGCTGGCCTGTCACATGGAGGCTGCTTAGATTTGACTGGGCCCCAGAGCATTGCCTGCTTGGCTTTTCTTTCCTTAGGCAGGGACCCCCCCCCCCCCACACACACACCCATCCTATCACACCAGACTCAGAGGTTTTGATTTCTCTTGTCTTTGTTGTTGAAGATCCAGCTTTAATTATCTTCTCCTCCCTCCAGGAATGAAAACGCCATTTAGCAAACTCAAAAAGTTTTACAAAAATTCCAAGAGAAGGCCTCAAAAGCTAGTGTTTCTGCAAGCAGAATCTGGTGAGGTTGATACACAGAAGAAAATATTTTTTAACGGGAACATGAAAGCTGCCAAACAAAATGAGCCAAAAGAATCTACAACTCAAGTGAAGGCCTCCAAGTTAGTCCACTTAGCACCTTACTTATCCAAATAAATGTGGGAGACATATGAACCCTCAGCAATATGTTACTGCTTGACCACTTAGTTTGTATACCAAACATTATGTCAAGCGCCCTGCTTAATGGAAACAAACCAGTGCCCACAGCAGTCTCACTGGTTCAGGATCATCTCCTCATCTTTTTTTTTTTTTTTGTTCTGATTTGTTTTGAGACAGGGTTTCTCTATGTAGCCTTGGCTGTCCTTGAACTCACTATGTAGACCAGGCTGCCTCAGCCTTCTGAGTATTGGGATTAAAGGCATGTGTCACCACCGCCCAGCAACCCCATCTCCTACAGATTAACAAACTGAGACACACAGAGGCTTTAGGGTTTATTTGCCGAATCCAAATGCAGATTCAGCTGACATCAAATTGCTTGTGTTTGCATGGTGAATGAATGTGGTTCCATGTCTTGAGTGAATACTCAATATTCAAAAAAGGGAAAATACTACCTCTTTTCATTTTCACTGTTACTCAGAGATTGATAGTCAAATTCTCATTTCACATATGGGTAAACAGGCTTAGGGGTTAAGTCTAGAGAGTAGAATTATTTGTTGAAAAGGAACACTAAGCCTAAATAATTCTAAAGCTCTGAGGTCCACTGGAGTAGTTGTCTACTAAGAGACTAGGTTCTGATTCAGGCTGAAAAGAGCACCACACTCAACTCTTGCACCAGTTCTCTAGTTGCTCCTTACCATCTGTATCCTTAACTGACTTTAAGAAAGGCAACAGGGATTTGCAGAGATGGATCAGTGGATAAGAGCACTTGTTGTGCAAGCATGAGGACTAGAGTTCAAATCCCAGCATCACACAAGAAAACCAGGTTTGGCCATGTGGCTGCCTGTAACCTCAGTGATGATGGGATTGGGGGCTAGAGACAGGACAAACTCTAAGACTTGCAGGCTGCCAGTTTAGCTCTGGGTTCAGGTAGAAAGTGGTAGAACAGATTATCAACTATCCTCCTTTGGCATCTTCAGCTCTCACACACATACGAGCATGCATGCGCGCACACACACACACACACACACACACACACACACA